TGCATGAGATTGCATTGGTGCGATGCGTAAAATCACTTCTGCATTATTTTACGAATGTGCTCGACCAAGCACATGATTGGCAACAAACGGACATGTCTCAGCATTGAGTTCAATGATTCCTCGTTGTTGTTTGTCATTATGTTGTACCGTAGGCCCACAAATAGTGCTTGTGACCAGAATGGAAAATCAACTTGCTCCAAGTACCCGTTAGATCTTTCGCTCACCCTACGAATTTGTCCCATAAGTCATTCAAATTCTTCGACTCAACAAGTTGTAGCAGCTCGTTTGAACAAGAATTTTGAACTTGCGTTGCTGTGCCGCTAGATTAGGTTCTTTTTCACATGCCATATATAACAACTATGGTGAGACAAATGAAATAAGTATGTAATAGCTCTTTCGATACTGCTTTTCCTGTCCAAAACAAATACGAGTTCATCTGAGTTGCCTATAAGATCTTACTAGTTAGACATAAACTATATCCAAGATCTGTTTGTCTTGAAATCCACGATCCTCTACCCTAAAGGATAAATCTGTTTGTTGGCACCTTGGGTAGTTGCCACTAGTAGAAGGATACCTTTGTATAGACCTTTCAAGTGACTACCGTCAACGCAAACAATAGGCCTCAAGTAGTGTATGTAACCATGAATGCTTGCACCGAAAGCTAGGAAGTAGTAATGGAACCTATTGCGCGAATCAAGTTCGATGTGGGTTACCGTCCCCAGGTTACTCTCACCTAGGACGTGACAGTATGAAGATAGTTTTTGAAAACTATCCTCCGGTGTTCCATGCAGCATGTGTAAAGTAGCCACGTTCCCCCTACGTGCCTTGTTGTAATTGATTTTGACACCGAACTCACGTTCCATGTCATACGATTGGTTTGGATTATCCAATTTTCCTAAAATGTGCTCGGTAATTAAAGAACTAGTCGCATGTCGATGCGCATTAATGCGAAAATCTATGGAACATGTGTGAACATTGTTGAATGTACGGATCATGAAGATTGCAGACTCCTTCACAGTCGAAGCACGTAACATCCACTTGCAGTTACCGTCGGTGCAACAACGGTTAACATCTTCATGCTTGACCTATTTACCCGAAATTGGAACTTGTCTTTCAAAGGAAGTGCACAAATTGTTGAGTATAACTCTTTCTTGCTGAAGAATATTTCCCTTTCAGCAAGATTGGATGTATTCACAGTTGTCATCAGTTCGTATCCATCCAAACTGTTGGAATGCGACGAAAATTGCTTGTCGACGTCAACAATATTAGCAGCCTTTGAACTATGTAATGGGTTATTCAAGTTCTCATCTAATGATGCAGTCTCGTTATCATACTCATGTGTTTCGAGAACATTATTGTTTGAGACACTATGCATTCGATTGAGCAAATCATGTTCTACGTTTTGCTGAACATCCACTGCGGCAAATGAAGGATCTTGAAAATTTGTATCCCTTCCCATGTCAACACTTGGGAAATCGAATTCCAAAACAATAACGCAGATAACAGTTTCCTTATGCACTGATATGTACCAATTTAAGTCTTCATTGTCGCGTATTTCGGCCGGAGGTATATTCAAGTTAGAGACTTTGAATTTCAATTCAATTTGAGTGCGGGGATCAAGAATGTCAAGTTTGTCCTTCAATTTTAACAAAAGTTCGGCTACGGTAATACTTGTCGGCACTAGAACGAAAGTGGTTTTGTCCCCTCTCTGCTTCCATTCGTCATCCGCATGAACAAACTTTCCCCCATGCGACACGATGAATCTCAAATGATTACTCATACCTGAAATATTGGAATTGCAATGATAAGAATTCTGCAGAATCAATATGTTGGCATTTAATAGTATGAAAGTGACACTGCATAATACGTAAATCTATACAATAGCAAAAGATCAAATCAAGGGTTTCCATCATTTTGAAGTGTCCAAATTGACAGTAAAACTTCATATCCCAACAGTTTGTAAATGTCAAATTCGATAGTAGAACTGTCGAAAATGTCAAGAAGCAGACGGCAATGGGTGGAACTCAGGCTTCTTCAGCACAGCACATTAAGTGTGGTCATTACTATTGAGTCGCCAAATAACAAAATGAAAAAGTCAGATTGACCTTGTAATTAAAGAGACATTTAATGAAAACATTGTTTGATTTGAATGGAAGAAATCACTCAAAACCTTAATGGTGATAATGATATTTTGTGAAGGACTCCAAAACCAAACAAATCAATGCATAATAGTTTCAAAAATTTCAAATAAATATGCCCATGTTGTATTTAACATTTACAAATTAAAAGGCTATAAAAGTAAAATATAAATAATTTTTAATTGTCAACCTCTCAAAATGGATGAAGAATGTAACAGAAATATCTTCTTGATCAATGAAAATAAAAAAAATGGAGAAAAATTAGGCTTTGTGGTTTGTAGTTTATGTTTCATTTTTAAATTTCTTGTACTCTTTTTTATTAACAAAAATTCATATTAATCTATACACATTTATTCATGTTTTATATATAGAAATTAAATCATCACATCAAGACAATCAGTTTTCTTCAAATCAAGCATTAAATGCTACTAAAAATGTGTCATTAAGAATAATTTGGACTTTTCACCTTCAAAAAGTGACATTTTTGCTCACATAAAGTGAAAATGACAACTTTTTTGGAACTTTTATTTTTTGTGATATTTTTGAAAATTCCCTGATAAAAAAAAGGTGACTGTAGATTTGATTACTTATTTGAGCAAGTGTAAATGTACAATTTACTATTTTAATGGCGTTGACAAAGATTCGTGAATGCTTTTGTAGACTATGACGTGATTATACATGTGCACTAAGATTGTGATTGTTATTATTATTAATTTTGCTGCAAATTTGGGGACACGTGATATTTTGATTAAAAAAAATTATTTATTACTTTTTGCATTACTTGTTCTAGTTGAGGTCATTTTTGGTTGAAAATATGTAGTTGTGAAGAGCTACAAATATTGTTTAATAATGAGATGAGATACCACCTACAATAGATGCAAATCTCGACAGATTATTGGAAGGAATCAAGTACGTGCAAGCAATGAATGAAAACCCTTTACACGCACACGTGAGCGTGCCCACGCGCGCATACCCAAAAAAAAAAAGATAAAATAAAATCAGTGTGTATCTGAGGAAAATTAGTTTAGGCCCCGTTTGTTTCCCATTTTCATTTTCATGAAAATGAAAAATATAACCGTTATGAGTTCCACACAGAGATAAAAATTCAAATTTGATGATTTGATGTGATAGATAACGATCATATTTTTCATTTTAATGAGAAGTGAATGGGAAACAAACGGGGACTTATTATCTTTCCCAATGCTGCAAACATATGCATCGACGAGATTGGAATGAAGACGAACACATTGATTATATGAACGGTTCACGATTTTTTGGATTGATGAATTAAGATGGAGGGTGACGATTCTTTAAATTACTGTGATTTCAATGTATTAACGTAGAAATTATGCATAATATACTAGGACGAGACGGCCCGGTTCTTCTTTAAGGTTTCGTCAGGGGTGCACGCCTGCAGGGATTCATTTTAAGTTGAAATTCTCGATTCACTACCGGTTCAAACCTCTATTTAATCTTTCTTTAAAAAAAAAAAAATACAAACAAGATTTTAAATAAATAAAAAGTTAATTAATTAATCTAACTTTAAAAATAAAATATTAAAATGAATAATTTGATTGGAATTCTCCCATGCATGCATCAGATTTCACATATATGCCTTCACATTACGTAAACAATCTGGTGAAGGTGTATCTATTTCAATTTTATGCAGCCGTCACAAATAGTCAATTATTTAACCACCTCAATTTCTAACAATTTCGATAAAGTTTCGCACTTCCATGGAAACTTTTATTTTTCTGTATGTTATTTTAAATTATTTCGTCATGAAACTCAGACTTTAGACATGTATCAAATTTATTTATTAGTTGTTAACATTTAAACTAAGCCAAAAAATAATAATAAATAAATGAATGAATAAATCCTCCTTTAAATTTTTTTTTTTTTTTTTGCAATAAAAATAAATTTGATTACTGAAATAAGATTTCACCTACCTCTTTCATAACCACTATGATCAACAAGGCGTTCTCCATCTCTAGCCTCAGATCTAACATGATGTTTCATCTTCTTCTTTGAAAAAAAGCATCATACGCATTTTCAATGGTGAGAGTATCACGACTATATAAATTGTGTCGCTAAATGAAGTGAGTAATGAACACAAAAGAAAGATCAAATCTTTTTCATCATACTTTACCTCTAAAGTCTTCAAATCAGCGACGATCTCCCTAAAAATAGTCAGGTGATCTTCAACGATCCGAATTTTGTCATGCAATGAGAATACAACCTCTGTTTCAAGCGCAAATTGCTTGTCTGGCTCTTGATCATGCACAATTATCCTAACTTCAACCACAATGCATTTGTTGTTCTTTCCTTCAAAACGTTTTAAAGAATATTATTTAAAAGCCAAAAATGAATTTATGAAAGTACCGTCCGATCCTTTCATTGTTTCTCCTTCATTGTCCAAGTTGTGGGCATTTTGTCAAATCCCAACAACGCATCATCCAAATCCATGTGAGTGATTATTGCTCGCATCTTAACCTACTATAAAAGAATCTAATGCTACAATCCAAAAGTGGAATGTCATACTTTATGGTTGCCATCAAGAACAAAAATCCTAAAACAATTCAAACCAAAACTCTAATACCGCTTGTTATAAATCGAACAAGGAATATGTATGCTCTGATACCACTTGTTGGGGACGAGACATGGAATATGACAAGATATAAAGTATTGATCACGACAATGACACAAAAAACAAGAATTTAATTTGGCAGAGAAAATGAAGCTTTTATTCAACTATAATGAAGAGAGAAATTACAACAATAATGTGTTCCTACACAATTCTAACTTCTAGTAATAATTAACTTGTAAAGAAGAGTCTACCATTTATACCATTTATAGGAGTAAATGTCAAACCCTAATAATAGTCCTTCAGCTCACTGCCGAAAATTCCGTCTCGCCTCTCAAGCTTCCAGTTAGTGGTAGTCTAGCGTCATCAATCCCTTTTTTCCTCCATGGTCACTATTTAGACATCTTCAAGCCCCAATACATCAAACCATGCAAATCCTAGATGAATTCGGGTCACAAACCCAACGCTACTGATTAATGTTTTGTTTTTCTTTTATCATTTCCAGAAAAAATTTTGCCTATTGTCAAGAATGAGTGTTTACTACTATGCACCCTTCTCATCGGGAAATCGCTGGCTTTGGAGGTTAGTATGCGAAATTGGATTGAACAGTAAAGCAGACAGTGTTATGGCTTTGTTATTTTATTAATACTGTTAAGTACGAACTTGCCATGGGGGCTAATTTCGTGGATTCACAGTTTTGACTGATCAAAATTTTCTCGTAGACTCTTCCAATTTTCTTGGATACAATTTTTCCTTTTTGGGCTGCTATCCTGGTTTCAGTCACTTTTGTAATTGCCTTTGCTGAGGTAGGCAACGATAATTGAATTCCTTTTTTCTGTCAAATTAAGGTTACGACTTACAACAGCATTCAGTTTTATGTTTATTACTGAGTTATATGTGTACATGGTTCAGGTTATCCCACAAGCTGTCTGCTCCAGATATGGACTGAGTTTTGGTGCTAAATTTGTCTCGTTTGTTCAGTTTCTCTTGTTCATTTTCTTCCCAGTGGCATACCCGATTAGTAAGGTAATGGCCAAGATCAATTGCGCACAAGTAATTTTTTCTTCTAGTTTAGGCTAGTGGTGTCAAACAGGCTTTTTCAAGGCTGGGTCAAGACTAGGCGTCTGAATCCACTTTGATACCTATAGTTCTGCCTCCTTAAATCAAGACTCTTTATGCATTTCGACTTTCAATATGTATTAAGTTATTGAGACAAGCAATGTCAAATGTAACGTAAATGTAGGCCGGACTAGGCCTTGACATGTGAACAATTTTCATAAACTGGTGTTTTCGAGACCTACTAATGACCTTTCTGTACTCCTTTAACCATTTTAAATTATCTCATCTAAAAGTTTAAATTGTTCGGGCATTTTGATATGGCAGTTGCTTGATTGGCTTCTAGGGAAAAGCCGTTCTGCACTTCTTAGAAGAACAGAACTGAAAACGCTAGTGGATTTGCATTCAGTAAAGGTAATTCTGGTGCAATTATTCAGGATTCACACCCCCCCCCCACCACAAGTTCTCTCTTATGGGACAGTTAAGTTGATCTTTATACAATAAATTACAATTTTAATAGCCTAACATTATTAATTTCTCAGGCAGGGAAAGGTGGAGAACTGACAGATGATGAAACTACTATTATAACAGGAGCACTGAACATGACAGAAAGAACTGCTAAAGATGCTATGACACCAATATCTAAAACCTTTTCTCTGGACATAAATTCTAAACTGGACATGTATGAAATATACAATTTTCATGTTAGTTTTGATCAATAAATCACAGAAATAAAAGATATACAATTTTCTTTGATTAGGTATACAATGGGAGCCATAGTGAGCCAGGGACACAGTCGAGTACCGGTTTACACGGGCAATGCAACGAACATTATCGGCCTTATACTGGTATTCAAATCTTGGTTTATATTCTTTTTATTGATATTGTTCCTCAAGATATCATTCTTACTTAACAGCTTAAACTTTTATATTGTCACTTGTGTGGCCATTCCATACAAAATGTTCCGATTTCAAGTCGGTACCTATTTGTGAGTTCTCACGTCTTACCTTTCAATAAAAATTGAACGCGACGTGAACGTTAGCTAACACAACTGCATTTCTCTCTGGTGCAGGTAAAAAACTTGATATTCTGTCATCCTGAGGATGAAACTCCTATTAAAGATTTGATAATTAGGAAAATCCCCAGGTGATTAGATTCTTTGTCAACTTATAGAATCATAGAAATCTTATATTAGGAACTAAATGCAAAATTATTTTCATATTTTATGAATTGGTTCTGATATTTTCTTGTTTTTGGATATAAACTTGCATTATTACAGAGTACATGAAAATTGGCCTCTTTATGATGTACTGAAACTATTTCAAAAAGGTCATAGTCACATGGCTGTGGTTGTGAAGTGTAAGAAAGATCCCAAACAAACGTCTAAAGACCCCAAAGTTCGGCCTGATTTTACGAGTATCAGAATCCAGTCGAACCCTGAACTCACACAAGCAGACGGAAAAGGTAAATCCTATCTCGATTATCTCGATTTATAAGACGTGTATAGTAACGTTGAACTGGAGAGGATTACGCAGAATAATCAGACAAAAATCTCACAAATCTCCCTCCCTTAATACTTGCCTCATTTCTACAAGATTGTGGAGATTTTTCAGGATCTAAGCCTCCATTTGCTGCAAAAGAGCTTCGAAATGACTCCCCTATACATTCTGGCTATGGCGAAATTCAATCACTTGCGTGGATCAGAAGGGAGAAGGGAGAGGCAAACGTTTTGAAACATGAAATGGAATCTCATGAAAATAAGTTATCACATGATGAGGTGATCGGTATCATAACAATGGAGGATGTCATGGAGGAACTTCTACAGGTAAAGCTTTTAGTGAGTTGAAATCAGTGAAAAGTGACCAAGAATTTCTTGAATGAGTGAAATGTAGAATTTTATATTCTGCTCACTACGGTCTAATATGTATACCAAACATGTAGTAATGATCTCGTTTCTCTCTCCAGGAAGAAATACTAGACGAAACAGATCAGCACATTGATATTCACAAGTCAGTGCTAGTTTCAATTCAAATAGTGCATTCTTTTCCCCTCCAACGGTAACTAACAGAATGAAATTCAAAATTGTTTCCAGGATTAGAATCAACATTCTGCCTCCAAGAAGATTATCATCTTCATCTCCTGGGACAGCTTCACTCTCTCAATTTTATCGAAGAACCCCGGAGCCAGAGGATTCTCCCATCTCTTACTATCATTCTCCAATACTCCATTCACCAATCCCGCCATTTGTCCCATCGCCATTTGTAAAGCCAGTACTATACGCTTCTCCTGGGAAGGCAGTTTCGAATTCTCCAATCAGATCTGCAGGCACTGTTCGCAGCTCTCCATCTTCTCGCCAGGTATGTCAATTCTATTGGACTTGTGAACTCTAATCGTGCTATCGCACTACCATTCTTTCCTTGTATAACAAATTTTGAGGGGCATTTTCTATGAGAAATAGAGAGAGACGTGAGAAACCAACATACTTTTTCTTCAACATAGTGAAAGCTGCAGTAGATCTCATATTGAGCGTGAACCATTACATCTGTGTGCTTCTGATTTCTATTTGCTTGTTTTTGCCACAGAATTGGGGATTAGAACTTATTTCATAACAAAACTTAAGCGGGCGGATTAAAGGAAAAAACTTGAGCTATTAGAGAGGGAAGAACAAAGTTATTTATGTAAATTTAGTATTTTCCAGTCCATGAATTTCATTTTGTTATAACTTCATCCTACTTCTTGACAGGTCTCGAGAAAATCATATGAGAGGTTAAGACAAGGCAGTAATGCATAAATGACAAATCTCCAACTGAAATAACGATACTTTGCACTAGCTGTACAAGATGAAGTATAGAAACCTCTCAAATTTCGTGTTGGATACTAAGTTTGCCATACCTATGTGACAAATCTCCAACTGAAATAACGATACTTTGCACTAGCTGTACAAGATGAAGTATAGAAACCTCTCAAATTTCGTGTTGGATACTAAGTTTGCCATACCTATGTGACAAATCTCCAACTGAAATAACGATACTTTGCACTAGCTGTACAAGATGAAGTATAGAAACCTCTCAAATTTCGTGTTGGATACTAAGTTTGCCATACCTATACGTCTGATACATTGTAATGAACAGAACTGAACAGTAAGAATAGATATGATTTTAATTATTTTTCATCTTTAATAGTGTTAAGTACTATACATATCAAGTTGTGAAACGAGCACTTCGTGCACTAAAGTAACTCTCATGTTTGCCTGTAAATTATATATACACTTTCAATGTGACTTTCATAGATATTTTTCATTTTTCCTTGCTACAGACAAAAACGTGACAGCAAAATATTTCTTAAGCAATGATATGTCAAACTGTAACAAGGCTCAGCCATTCATTCATTTGGATAAGATATTTGCTAAATCCCAATACAAGTTTTATGATTCAATCAGAAATTAAACATTGTGGAAACAAGCCATGAAAACTCTCAGCATTCTTCAACAAACACCTTTACACATTACAAAATCAACGCCATGGTGGAAGAGGCGGAGTAACCCATTCCTCCACCAGCTTCACTGCAAAAACCCACAAAATTGGCGGCAGCTGCAAGCCGGAGCAAAGGGCTTTGGTGGGACATCATCATCATCATCCTCATCATCTACAACCAATATACAAGAGCAGCCAAAAGATAAACAAAAACCTGGCGGAAAAAGTTACAGGAAAACCGAAGACAACGATGACAAAATACCTGATGCGGTTTGGGAGAGGATGATTTCAAGAATCTTGTTCTATGTGGGGGTACCGTTGATTACGGGTTTTGCTTTGCTGCAAGTTTTGGGTGCATTGAAAGAACAAAAACTATGGGATGTACCAAATTGGGTGCCATTTTTGACAAGTTTTGTTACTTTTGGAAGTTCAGCACTTGGAATTGCTTATGGGACATTATCTACAAGTTGGGATATAGAGAAAGAAGGTTCGTTTCTTGGATTTGAACAGGCTCAAAAAAATTGGGATGAGGTGTGGAAAGAAGAAGATGAAAATAATATGTAATCAAGCTTATTCAAATCAATGGAATAGTTTCCTACAAATCACACAATATTGAAATTGTTGTACACTAAGAATGTACAATTAGTATAATCTATGTGTAATAGTATATATACACGGAACATTTTGAGCCCACTTTTGATTTATGAAAATTTGTTTATCCGAATCAATTGAAATTTTTATTTCAAATGGCGGATGAAAAGATAACACGTCATATAGAATGTGGGAAAAGTATCAACGTCATCTAAAAATTTTATTTTGTGAATAACCAGTAAACGTGTAAATTGATATACCTATCTTCTCCAAATTTTCAAACAGTTTGATTTAAATCTCCATTCCCAAATCATCTTCCTCTCCTATGCCTGTACTATCTTCTCCAAATTTTCAAACAGTTCGATTTAAATCTCCATTCCCAAATCACCTTCCTCTCCTATGCCTGTAATCTGCTTCCTTGATTCCCATGTCAAGTGGAATTTTAAATTCAAATACAAGCCAGAAATGCAGAACTTCATAAATTCAATATCGGATAAGAGTGAAATCCTTTAATAAAACTCATGATTCCAAGGGTATTTTGTTTCAAAAATGAGAAGCCAGAAGAACGTCTGTTAAATGAATTAAAATTGTTAATTAATAAAATGTGTTTTTATCCTCCGTGTCGTCCACTAATGTCGTATCTTTTAATGTCATTTTTTCATCCGTTACATAGACAATTTATTCAGCTGTATGCAAAAAATTAGCTATGATAAGCGTTATGTAAATTAATGAACAAATAAGCATTGAATAATCATTTAATTTTCAGTGAGCAAATAGTAACCATGAATAAAGCTCATTACTTACTCATATCATTAACATATGACATATCGTGCTCAAGTCATTTCAACTAGCTGAGTGAACACAATAGAAAAATAATATTACTCTATCGAGATCGAGTAAAATGAAAATTAAGTCTTTTTCTAGAACAGCTCAAAAAAAAAAAAAATTCTAGTAAAGCATTAAAGATTTGTTTGAGCCCTCTTTTTTGGCTAAAAAATAAGTTTTGTAATAGTAATTTCTTACAAATGTATGATTAAAAGTAAGGAAAAATTTTAAGCTTATACGCAAAATTATTTTTGGCTTAATAGCAGAAAACTCGCTATCTATTAGACATTGTATGAAAGATCCCCTACCAATTGGAAATAGCAAAAAAGCTCCTTGTTTGAAACCTTTTGTGCAGATCCTATCATCATATTGCTTGTAAAATGAGAATGAAAAATAGAGTCGTTATGGGCCCTACACAAGAAATAGAAATTCAAAAATTGTGGCTCGATGTGATAGATAACGGTCATATTTTTCATTTTAATGAGGTAAAAATGGGGCTCAAACAGGGCCTATGTCAATTTGTTGTTAAATCTCAATAAATAGGGCAAAAATAAAAAGGACAACCCTCCCCGGCATATTAGACATGGTGCGCAACCCCCGATCTGAATTGGCGAAATATCCTTGCACTTATAGAGGCATAAGTCAGATGAAATCAGGGAGCCAAACCATGCAAGGGTTTGGCTTGGCATCTCAATACTTCAAGCCCGTTTGGGATAGCATTTTCAGAAGTCGAAAGGAGCTTTTGTGGCCCAAAAGTGTTTTTGGACCCATTTGGCTAATTTTATAAAACAATTTCTTCAAGTTACTCTAAAAACTCTTCCACAAAAAGACAAGAAGTTAGTTTTTTACTTTAATGAAAATTTAAAATTCCAATATTACCCTTACATCTGTATAGAACAAAATGAAATTTCAATCGTGTCCTAAGAAATCACGACATTTTCAATTCTCTTAATTTCTCCTCCTCTAATCCCTTTCTTCAGCTTGTGTTTGCAGGAATTCCTCTCTTCTCTTGGTAAGATTTTGCAGTTTAACTTCAATTTTTTATTATTTTATTTTGCAACAACGTTATTTATCTACAACACATGGGTTAACTACAATAGATTCGTATCATTCGCTTTTTTATTTTTCTTTTCTGGGTTTTATTCAAGAAATGATGGGTTTAATGCGTATTTATCTGGGTTTTTGAATGTGCCTTCGGTTTCGAAGATGGGTTTGAAAATCTATCTGTCTTCTGTTTGAATGTGCCTTTGTATTTATCTGGGTTTTTAAATGTGCCTTCAGTTTTTTATTTTGAGTGTGCCTTCTAATTTTTTAAAATTTGCAATAGGTTTAGACTGATATGAAGTAAGATATTGTGGAAGAAGTAGGAAAATGTTTGTTTGTGAGGCTTGCACAGTTTCTTATCCTTCCTTGCAATTCAGTTTTTGCTGTAAACTATGGTTGGTTAACTAGTTATTGCATCTAAAATTGCTCCACGATATCAAAGTATGATGCAACGCTTTTTAACCAATTCAAATTTACAAACTGGGGCTTTCTTAATCAATGACTATAGCCTCAATCATTGTGGCTCCCCAGAGCCTGTACCTGCCTGTGTTGCATTTGGATATAACAACATTTTTAAATGTAGATGGCAACTGAGGGGATAAAGGGAAAATCAAAACAATTTGGGATGCATGAACACATAAGATTTGGGTTGATGTAGCTGTAGAACAAGTGAGGGCAAGTAACAGAAATGGAACACACTTGAGCAAAAAGGGTTAGAAACTTTTTACTGAGAACTTTAACAAAGTAACTAGGGATGACAATTTGAACCGTCAAAATCAAGAACCATGGTTAATCAAACCGAATGGGGGAAAAAATATCAAACCGATAGTGCAATGGGGCGGATATAATTTAGATTTTAATGAATCGGTTAGTGGCAGTGTGGGTATGATATTTACGCTGTCGAACAAAAAAAAAACACACACACACACACACATGCACACACAATTGAATTGATTATTGGGCTTTACATTACTTTTCTATCCAACCCAAAGCAAAATCCCCCCATTACATCTACCTGACTCAGCCAGTCAGCCCACTTACTATTAGCCCATATAATAACATTAATATGACAGTATATAAATGCAAACCCTACTCTCCACAAACTACAAACTCACACACGGCTCCACTGCCTCCACGGTCCAAGTCGTCATCACCTCTAGAAATTTGTTATTTGTTAGTCGTTCTATTACTGCTGATTTTGTAAAAACAGAGTTCGATATTTTTCTAAACAAGCTAGTATTACCAAGGATGGATGGTTTTGATTTATTGACATGGTAGAAAGCAAATTCAATTAAATATCCGACTTTACAGAATGTTGCAAAAGATTTACTAGCCATTCCAGTATCTACTATGGCATTCGAGTCGGCGTTTAGTACAAGTGATAGATTTGTGATTAAAATATATAATTCAGTCATATGGGCGTAGACTATCCCTCATCCTAAGCACTCCTAACACTGGCCTTAGACCCTCTTAATGAATGATAAATGGCCAAGGCCTCTCAGTGAATATATACATGATCAAGACCTCTCAGTGCACTATCGTGCACGGTCATGACCTCTTATTGTAGTATAGAATGCTGTTAAGACCCTTCAGTGCACTAGAAGAATACAATCATGGGTGTGATTCCGATCAATTTTAATACCACATACGTCTCACATTTCATTTCCCATGTAATCAACATACAACCTTCATAATTCTTCAAATATTATAGTGAAATGACACTTCATAATAATCAGGTAAGTGGACAATTAATTCATAAAATTACACGTAATATGATAGTATAATTAATTTCAATATTTGAAAATACCTAAGTTTTTCCACTTACTGGATTTTTTACTAGATAGAGACTAATTCAGTTTACAAGATGTCATGATCCTCTCATTATTCTCCGAAAAATGAGACAATTATTAGAACTTACAACTATTTAATCAGAGGCGGGATGGAGAGCCCAGCCCCGGCCCAAAAGCAGATTAACTCGTAAAAAAATGAAAAATTCAACGAAAATTCTTGAAAAAGAAGAAAAGTCTTGTAGGATTGAATTGAAGAATCTTCTAAATCTTCATTGAATATCAATTTGAATTTTTAATTTCACATTATTATTAATCCAATGATGATCTAATTGGTCATGTCAAACAATAAAGTCAAATTGAACTTCCGGTTCAATATAATAAATAATTCGATAATTTCATTTCGAAGAACACGATTAAAGCTTTTATAATCATATACCATTCAAGCAATCAAACTAATCAATGTTCTTATGACATTAGTTATATGTTTTTCTTTAGAGATAAATATGAATTCAAAATTATATATTTTTTGAAAATGTGCTACTTTGAAAGCACATTATCTTTAATTATTATTTGTTCAAAAGCAATAAGTCAATGTTCTTTTGAAAATGTTGAAAATTATAATTCATGCTCTTTAAGAGCGGTAAATTAATATTTTTTTGAATATTAATAATATAGAAAATTGTTTTCTTTAAAAATTACAACTCAATGTTGAGTTGTTTAATTTGTGTTCTTTTAGGAACACAATGAAATATATATTATTCGGTATATGTGCTATTTCGATAGTACATTATATTTTATTATTAATTTTTTAAGAGTAATACATCAATATTCTAAAAGTTTATAGAAGAACATTTAAAAATATTTAATTACCATATAAATATGATATGAATTTTTATAGAAAAATTAATTACTAAAAATGTATAGATAAAAAAATCTTTCAAACATGCACGTGAAATAACTTTATATATAGACATGTAATCACTATGCTATAATGAAATTATCGTTATAAGTTTGCGTACAAGAAAAGAAAGCATAGAAGAAGTAAAAGAAGAAGTAGCCTTGTTTTGATGCATTCGTATGTAGAAAAAGAATCACATGTCATCAAATTAATTTTGGTATACGTGATAAATATTCATGCTTATAAAAATTACTACATTTACTAAATTTTAAAAAATTAAACTATCATGCTAATAACATATTATAAAAAGAGAGAAAAAGAGAAAGAATAAAAATCAATAAATTTGTTTGTATTTTATTAAAAATCAAAACCCTATATTTATAAGGAAGAATTAGGAATACAAAGGTAATAATTTATAGGATTGTAGTGGTACAATTATCATTTATTAATAAATTTACTATTTACAACAGATAATGAAATTTTAAAATCATTATTTCTTCTAATTTTCTCCGCATAATATAGCTCCCGTTTGAGCCATATTAGTGTAAAAATGAGAATAAAAAATATAATCGTTATGGACCTCACACAAAAAATAAAAAATCAAATATTGTGATTTAATGTAAAAGATAATGTTCATATTTTTTATTTTAACGAGAAAATAATAAGGCTTAAAACAGGGCGATAGTTGAGCACAAGCCAGCTTGGGCCTAAGCCGCGTAAGACAAATGATCCATATGAGACATTGATCAAGACTCAGAACGTTAATATGTCAGCCCAATGTGTCCCTACGAAGCAGATATTATAAAACCCGCCTCTTATTAGGGTTTGTACGATTTCCCAACTGCTGCTGCATCATCAGCCAGAGCCCTAATCGTCTTCCCAATTCTACCCCGCTGAACGATCGATCATTCTGCAGCGATGGTGTCATTAATCTCTCTGTCTTTTTTTCTGTACATATATCTGTTTTTCGTTTTATTTTTATGTTTCTGTTGGTAATTAGGATAAATCATGGACTGATAACAATTTTATGCTAGATTATCCCAGAGAAGAACAGGAGAGAGATCTCGAAATACCTCTTCCAAGGTCACATCAAATTCCCGCTCTTTAATGAACACAGATGCGCATATTTTACATTTTTATTGATCTCTGATGTTGGGTGTAAACTTTGACAGAGGGTGTATGCTATGCGAAGAAGGATTTCAACCTGGCCAAGCATCCGGAAATCGATGTACCTAACTTGCAGGTGATTAAGCTGATGCAGAGCTTTAAGTCCAAGGAATACGTGCGGGAGACCTTTGCCTGGATGCATTACTACTGGTATTTGACCAATGACGGCATCGAGTTCCTCCGGACCTACCTCAACCTTCCTTCTGAGATCGTCCCAGCTACTCTCAAGAAGTCTGCTAAGCCCCTAGGTCGACCCATGGGAGGCCCACCAGGCGACCGCCCACGGTAAATTAATTGTTAATTTTCATTTATTAACATTAATTGTATGCTGTTGTATGTGTTTATTACTCTCTTTTTTTAGATTATCTTGGTAATTGATCATAGTTACAAGGATGTTTAACTACCCACAAATATTTATTTAATTTGTTGTATAATTGATATTTGATTTTTCTATGGTTCAATACACGTTGAGGTATTAAGGAATCTATTTTGATTGATATACAAGTTCCAATTATCTTATGCATGTGTAGTAATATCATGTGTTATATTGGGATTGTTATTATAGTGGACCACCAAGATTCGAGGGTGACAGGCCAAGGTTTGGAGATAGGGATGGGTACAGGGGTGGCCCAAGAGGACCACCTGGTGAATTTGGCGGCGAGAAGGGTGGAGCTCCGGCTGACTACCAGCCTGCTTTCAGGGTAATTTAGATTTTCTTTTATGCTACATCTTGTTTGATTGTTGATTATTTACTGCCTTCTCTATTTTTATGGATATTGTTTGACATTTTTGTCCGTCCTAATTATAATAAAAGGGAAAGGATCTTAAGTGAATTAAGGCTTATGTAATTGTGAGCACATTTGTTTATTCATGTGCCAACGATATTTAGGGCCTTTGCAAATTGAAATATTTCCATAATTTTTAACCTTGATCTTATTTGTGACATGCATTCATGCTGGCATTTCACAAACCATATGTGAGACACTTGTCATATGAAATTTTTAAAGTATGTTTATACCTTGAATATTGCCACCTATCATAACTACTGATGCTCAGCCGTCTAGGTGACAATAAGTGAAATTAATTGATACGTCATCTTAAATGTAGGGATATGAGTCTTATTTAAGATGACATATCAGTTAATGTCACTTAATTGCCACCTAAATCAGCAGTTGTGATTTATAAAATTACTCTTACACCATTTTCCATGTTGACTACACTCTTTTTTTGCTTATCACATTAAATTGTGAACATCAAAGAAGTTGCAAGTTCCTTTTTCCAACATTGTTTATTGATCTGATTTGCATTCTATTAGGGTGCTACCATGTAAACATTCATGAATGGCACATTTGAGATGTTGAAATAACTAATCTGATTATTTCTCAAAGACAGCAACTTGTATTATATTAAGACATAAAATTTGATTAATTTATCTTCTCTCTGCATGTTACAATGTCAGTCCTCTGCAAATGGAAGTATTTATATAATTTTTAACCTCGATCTTGTTTGTGACTTGCATTCATTATGCATTTCACCAGCCAAATGTGAGACACTTGTCACTAGGAAATTTTTAAACTATATTTATACCCTGAATATTGCTATCTATCACAAATTCTGATGCCCAGCTGTCTAGGTGGCAATTAAGTGGAGTTAATTGATACGTTATTTAAATACAGAGATATGGGTCGCATAAGATGATATATCAATTAATATCACTTAATTGCCACCTACATCAGCAATTGTGATTGATAGAATTACTCATACCATTTCCATGACTACTAATACTCTTTCATTGCTGACCACATTAGACAGTAAACATCAAAGAATCAAATGTCACAAGTTCCTTTTTCCGCCATTGTTTATTGATCCGATTTCATTCTATTACGGTGCGAGTCGTGCAAACTTTCATGTGTGGCACATTCGAGATGTTGAAATAATTAATCTGATTATTTCTCAAAGAAAGCAACTTGTCTTATATTCAAACGTAAAATTTGATTAATATATCTCTCTCTACATGTTACAATGTCAATGGTTGACAGTTACATTTGCATCAATCATAAATTTTTTTTTTTTTTTCTGTTTGCTTAATTAACATGCAACTGATTTATGTTTTAAGTATGGATTCTTATTTTTCTTGTTAGCTGAAATAAGTAACATACATTATGCTAGAAACTGATACTCTCTGTTACCATGCTTAAAATCAACCCACTTCTTTTGTTTTTGGATTTTGCTTGTGGAGGAGTAGAGGCTGAGGATTTTGGTTGCTTTCCCCCTTAAAATCTCTCTTTCAAACACTTCTAGAGCAAGCCAATATATTGGACTTGCTAAACTACATAATGCTTTTAGAATATAACTTTCGAAAATCAATAACAGAGCGGGTTCTTTAATTCTCCCTAAGTGGTAGTATTTTGTTATTCTATGTCTTGTCTTTCATCATATGAAAACTTGACTTGTTCAATTTGACATTCAGGGTTCTGGTGGAAGACCTGGCTTTGGGCGTGGATCTGGCAGCTTTGGTGGAGCACCCCCAAGTTAGAACTTGTCCTAGACATTCATTTGCCAAGTTTCCATATATTTTGCATATTAGCTTTTAGATGTTGGAACTTGTGTGGAAGTCCTGAGGCTTGTAGTATGATGTCTTCTACAAATTTGTTACTTCGAATCTTAGTACTGGTTTCTCAAATTGTTATTACCAGAGCAAGAATTATAGTTTTGCAATCTATTTCTTTTATTTTTATTGCTGATTTCTACCGTTTGAAAATATTCTCGTGGCCATAAAGGGGATTGAGTTCCAGTAATTGAACTTTCGAATAGCTCGTGGAAGAAAAGTATGCTAATCCATAATATAATAGACGTCAACGAGATTTATCTTTTGGACGATTTTATCCTTATTGTAATTCAAATGGTTCAATACTACTCTACTTTTTGTTTCTCAAGGTGTATTTAATTTATTTATCCATTTGAACAATATTGTTATGAATTATTTTGTCAACTATTTAGTTATAGTCAATTTATTTATTTGTTATTGTTATTTTTAATGACCGTGGATGTTTGGGACAGTTTACGCGTACCTTGGTTAATCTCACGAGATCCTGAAGTTTACAGTCAGGTACTCACATGGTCCTGAGAGGACTCGAATTAATGACCATTAGGGAGTGATCGATGTACATTTGACATATTCATCTCTCTTGATTGTACAATAAATTAAATTCATGATATTTAGAGAGTTTTCTTTCAATTGATTGTTTAATGAATGTTGAGATGCAGGTCTATTGATTAATATGCATTTGACAAATTCATTACATTTTCGTTTTTTAATATGTATTATATAATTATGATTTATGATCAATGCACATTTGACAGATTCATTCCACTTGATTGGACAATAAATTAAATTAATTAATTTTTTTTGAAACAAAAGATAGATATTTTGAGAGTTTTCGGACGATTCATTTATTCAATGAATGTTAAGGTACGAAGAATAAATAGGGCATAATGCTTATATATAATAAATAAATCTAATTGATATATTCAATACATATAAGTGAAGATGAGTAAGTTATGGTATTCTTGGATGTAAGTTATGGTATTCTTGGATGTTTAATTTTGTTCAAAAGGGTCGATGGAGGAATTGTTCTAATTGACTTCCTCAACTATTTAAATTATTTTCACAAATTGATTTTTATTTCATTTGAATCAAAAGTTTATTTCACTTGTACAATTCATATTAACTATTTTTTTATATTTTCAAATCTATAAATATTATTTTTTTAGTACCTATAAAGCATTTCAATATAATGTGCAATTCACGTTTAACTATAACTAGAAAAAAAAAAAAAATTGGGGAGTAAAATTTGTAGTTCTCAATTTTTTTCTTTGCCAAACAATATTAGATGTCAGGCACTTTCTTTAATATAGAAATTAGTTTTACATGTATTTTCATGTGGTTTAAATATAATATTTTATTTTTTCAGCATCTTAACTTGTATTATAAGGGTAATTAGCACAAAACATCCCTACTTTTCATGATTTTTGTGGAAAACATCCCTACCTTTCGTTTTTTGGCTCATTTCATCCCTACCTTTACCTTTTCTTGCACAAAACATCATTTTCATCATTTTTCTCAATAAAAAGTTATAAAATGACTAATATACCCTTCAATTTAAATAAAAAAAATAAAGAACTAAATGCAATTATTGTCTTGCGATTGCAAGGTTTAACTTTATGTCCATTTACATTTTGGTCCTCGTTCTCAACGTCTTATTCTAGTCCTTTTACATTGCAACTGAGCTCCATTATCTTTCAATTCATGCTACTTTGGTTCCCCTCTTCTAGTTTATGTATAATTTACATCCTTTTGGCCCATTTTTCATTTCTTTTCTCCAAAAGTCGTCCAACATCAATTTTTTTCCCTAATGAAAAGATATTCGCACAATATTAAGTAATAATTTTCCAAAACCATTCCCAAATGCCTCTTTTGACGACAAGGTCGGCCCTGAGATTTATGCCCTAGACAACAAATTGTTACAAATTCCTTAAATATAATTTTTTTTTTTTAGTAAGTATGGAAGTCTTTTTAATACCAATCATGGTTGATTCAAATTCAATTTTCTCTATAGCTTTTAAACAATGAAATGAGCACTTTTAAAATATATATATATATATATATATATATAACATCGGTATCCACCTGCCACCATCCCCTTTCACAATCACTGACATCCACCCACCGTCATCTCTTCTCATAGTTTTCGACATCCTTTCCCTGCCACACCCTCTCACAATGATTGGCATCCACCTAGGTTTGAGATCCATGAGTACAATAACTTGTTTGGATTTTTAATTTAACCAAATATCAACAAGAATTGACGAATTATCTAATTAAACTTCAATTTGGACAATCGATTGGCATCGATAGTGTAAATTTGATTTCGTTGTTGGATTTATCATCAGATTCAGGGTTAATTTGTAAATTTTTTGCTACATGGAATAAAATACATATAAATTGTTACTTGTGATGTTGATCCAATAGCATTTGACAAGTTCTCTTGGATTTGTGATATTTGGACATTGATATATTATTTGTGATATTGATTTAATGGCCTGCGACCAATTCTCTTTGATTTGTAGCCTGTAAACATTGATTTGTTACCTATGCAAAATGGCCTGTGAAAGTCTGGCACTGATATCTGACCTTTGAACGTTGACATGAGACTTGTGAATTGTAACTTGTGACCTATGAACTATAACATGTGACCTCTGGATATAAATCAATGATCTGTGACCAATTCTATTTGATATATGCCATGTTGACATTGATATGTGATTTATACAATATGACTTGTGACCAATTCCATTTTATCGGTGATATATGCATAATGACCTAATTCTATTTGATATATGCCATGTTGACATTGATATGTGACTTATACAATATGACATGTGACCAATTCCATTTTATCGGTGATATATGCATAATGACCTGTGACCTATCACCATCAAATTGTGACATGTGAATTGCAAATCTGATCTGTGGCCAGTTGTTTTTGATAAGTGACCTATGGATAGTTATCTATGACGTATGCACAATTACATATGACCCATGACATGCAAACATAATCTATGACCTATATAATATGATCATGACTAGTTGAGTGACTGTGACTATTTAATCCGTGATGTGTATATAATTATTTGTGACCTATGCATAATAACATGTGACTACCTCTGACACTACTACTAGATATCAACATAGAATTTGACATACACACTATAATCATTTGACCACCATGAGAACTACCACAGAACCGTTGCGAAAATACCACAAAAACACCTCAAAAATCACCACACGATGCTGCAAGACCACCGCAAGATGAGGCACTAAATTCAATTCACAAAATCACCCAACATGACAATCAACATTAGGTCATAAGATTAGAAATCACCTAAATACCCAACACCTCATTCAAAATCCAATTCACAAAATCATCCAACATCACAATCAAAATCAAGTCACAAGATCACTGATCACCCAAACACTCAACATCATAAAACTACAACAAAATCACCACAAAATCTATGTGCCTAACTTACTACAATAAGGACCATTTCAATTTTGCAACTTGAAATTGATTCACATGAGATTGTACTCTAACAAGCGATTTTCTCACTCCACGAGCTGATCTCATTTACATTCAAAGGTAAAATCCTACCAGCCATGCCCAGTTAACCAAGAACCCCTTTTCTCTGTCTCTAGAAGAATCAAATCATTCAAGCTTACTAAATGACCCCGAATTTATACCCACGAAAATTGGTTTCTCTTCAATCAAATCGTGGGCTTGAGTCATTATGTGAGAAACCAAGCTGCTCATGGTAAAGATTTCAACAACGACAATGGAGATGGTGCGGGCTCTTTTGTGGGAGGAGGCTTATTTCTGGGTACTACCGCGCGACTAGGACATTTTGCAAGGGCCATCGTGAGTCCAGTGTTGACAATAGGACTTGCAAAAGTGACAAGGCTATGACATGTTGCAGTTGTTGTAGCACAACTTTGATAGTGGGCGGCGATCGACGGTAATAAGGTTGAGTCGTAACGAAGAGAGAGATGAGAAAGAGACGGAGAGTGAAACTAAGAGCGAGAAATGAGAGAGAGAAATTTTATTTTTTGATTAAACACTTGATTAATGCATAAATAAATTTTACATCTTATTTTTGAATTATTATATTTAAAAACAGGCTGGCTTCAACCCAGCTTGATTTCTATTTATGAAAAAAAATAAAGGGCAAATTAGGCCCAATATCCTAAAATATTGATTAATTTGATAAATACCCTAATAACTAATTAAATCAATTAAGAATGTAATTAATACGTCATAAACCCCCCGATACCCCTCCAAAATCCCTAATCTATCTTTCATCAGATTTTCCCTACAAAGAATTAGGAACCCCCACATTATATGATCAAATTCTATACACTCATCTCTCTCCAACTAATGGGAAAGTGAAGAAGTTATTCAAGAAAAAGATGATAATGATATTGAATTGGAAAACAATTCTCACAACTCACCTTTGCCTTTGCCAAAAATGCTCAACCTGAAAGACCTCTGGAATCAATTGAACAAAACTCACCTGGGTTCCTCCTAGAATGGGTATTCTTCTGATAAAAAATAAATGATAAATGTGGTTTTTTTTTTTTTTCATGATTATTGCTCATGAATGTTCGTTTTGAACTTTTATTGGCACAAAACAACTATGTAGTACTGGAGAAGTATAGCAGGAAAGGAAATTGAAGCTAATTTGATATTTGAAATAGTTGAATCATAAGTATTCAAGAGAGGAAAATGTTTGATTTTGGAAAATCTAAAATAAATTTTATTTATTCCTAAATCTGATGAGGATAAAGTTAAAATACTTGGACATTATGCATTTGATAGCTTTTCTGATACATTTTGATTGTATGGTTGGTCTTTTGGTTTGGACTTGTCGTCTACCGTGTTTTGCCATGCAACTGATTGTGGTCAAGTAAAGGTTTATCTTCCGTAGAGAATGCAGAATAAACAATGACTATTGGAAGTTGGAAAAATATAGATAGTTTACGTATTCAGTAATTGAATAAAATTAAAAAAAGTGAAGTAGGATTAATGGCTCACTTAGACTAAGAGAAGAGCTCTGTGGATGTCCTGTTTAGTTGTGAAAGTTGTGAGAAAGTAATAGGAGAAAGGAAGATTGCTTGAAGGAAGGGCAAAAGGAGCAGCATTTTGGTTAGTTTTAGCAAAGTGAGGATGTAGTTTTAGCAAAGTGAGGATGTACATTTTTTGCTGTGTTAAGTGCTTATTTGTTGTGAAGTATGATTTTGTTGGTGTGTGTG